CAAAGGCGCAAGCCTATTTTTCCCTCAAATATACTGACTGACTGACTGACAGGGAGATAGCAACAAACCTACATCTTCACTGTGAGGATACCCTATTTACACCATCTTTAACCGAAAGTCAGAGTAACCACACCGACTTATTAAACCAAAGAACAAAAACTTTGTCCTGATGGATCGCTACAGTCCAGGGCAGTTCGTCAATTTGTGACCATTTAGGGACGAACGTACCGGTGAGCTGTGCCGGCAAACTGAAAGAAGTCCCCGGTTTCAAGGAGAAAACATGGCTTCGGATTATCCAAACTGTCCAGAGTAGGTTATGATGTAAGTGCCTGTAAGTGCCTACATGACAAGGCAAATAAGTCAAGCCTTTGCAATCTGACCTGACCATCGACCATATTCGTCGTCGTCGGTTGCACATACTAGAGAAGATGAACATCTTTCTTCACCCACTGTGTCCAAACAGGTGTTCCATAATTTAAATGGGGTCTCACGAAATCTCTTAATATTTTTTTCCGCAGAGATCTGAGAGAACTCACTTAAAGTAACTTTATTGAGGGAATAAGGCTTTTGTCCTTGAGTTTCCTGTTCATATCCAACAATCACATATAAATTTAACGTTAAAAACTAATTTTTACTTTTGTTGCATGTAAGAAAATAACTCGTGGCAAGGATGAAATCTTCCTCCCTCTATCTTTCCACTGTAGGCTGCGGAGACTCTCACGTCTTTTCCATCAACAGAAGGACACTTCTGTCCCGCCCTTGATCAAACTGACCTTTGAGCAAGATAAGAGGTTCTCCGAAGAAAAACAGTTGGCCGATGAGCTCAAGTTTGCTGAAAATCCTTCGCTAAAGGTTATGGAACCCTTTTCGTGCATAGTAAAAGCGCATAGAAAAACGCAGCATCCCATACTTGGATACGCCTTAAGAAATCTCATAGCTGACTTTAAGTTGACCGCTGATAACTTCAATGTGTTTTTATGCAGAAGGTTTAGTAAAAATTGGGCCGCTGCACTTCTTACCATCCAGGCTTGGAGTGCTGACGTCCTCGAAATCATAAGTTTTACTATCTGGGACGGGACCATAGGCATTCAACCTTTTCGTCAATATTATAGTCCAGGACCAGATGGCGTCCCAATCAGCCTTCTCAAAGCTGAAGCGAATTATATTCACCCGTCTCTTCTGTGTAAGGTATTTGATCTTGCTTTTGAAAGCGAGACTCTTCCTGGTTTGTGGAAGGAATCGACTATATTGCCCTTACCCAAGTACAGTCGATCGACGTCATTTGACGACATTAGACCAATAAATACACTGCCCGCAGCCTCGAAGACCTTGGAGATCTTGATCAAAGACACAATGATGCGTCATCTAACAGAGAACAACCTAGTAAATGTGGCTCAGTATGCCATCCTCGAAAAAAGATCCCACAGCACCTGCCAGCTCTCATTCTTTGATCATGTGCTACAATGTAGAGCCAGTGGTTTTGCTCCTTCTAGAGTTCATTTCGATTTCACTAAGGCCTTTCATCGTATTGAACATGATCTCCTCCTCAACAACTTGCCACTTTCGGGATAGGTAACAAGATTCTGAATTAAATATTCTCCTATTTGGATGTTTGCACACAACGAATTCAAGTTTCCAATGTCATCTCCAACCCAACGCATGTGAGTAGTGGAGAGATTCAGGGTAGCATACTTGGTTCGCTCTTATTTTGCCTTTCAGTCAACCATGTTCCTGATTGTTTTCAGTTCAGTGGCATTTCATGTACGTTAACCATTTAAAAGTTGCCTTTCGATATAAACCGGCAGATCGCAACATCATGCTCGAGCTCATTAAAAAAGAATCTGCAGGCCTTTTCCCAGTGGTGCTGCCAATGGCCCATTTCCTTTTTTTGGCATAAAAGCTCCGTTGGGGTTGTTGGCGACGATCGTCAGCCTGAACTAAGCATAGACGGTCACAACCTAAATCTGCTCGGAGTTATTAAGGATCTGGGCATATCATATTCTAGAAGTCTTAATCTGTCAGAGCCCTCAGACCTGATTTTCTCGAAAGCACGCCGAACTACCGGAGTTATTCTCACAAATTTTAAAACCATCAGGGTTAGATCCAGCCTTTATAATATATACGTGAAATCTAGTCTGGAATATTCCTCTTTTCTATTTTTCCTTCTGCGCGCTACTGAATGGAAGAAAATAGAATCGGCCCACAATTATTTCACTAGATGAGTTTTCTTTTCAGGACACGGCGAACTGTCCTGCCAATCGCGTTGTGATCTTACTCACCTTGACCTCTTGTGGCTTCGCAGATTACGGAAGAGTCGTACCTCCAATCCCCTGATTACCCTGAGGCAACTCGACCACTCTCGGTACACCAGGCATCGAGATGTTCCTTATTTCTTCCGCTGGCACGCGCAGCCATTGTTTTTCAGTAAACATCATAGCAATCTACAATAACCTGCACAGAAGTATTAACTCAGTGGAGCTAGTCCTTGTTTAAGAGAGGTATCACTATTTTTCTACAGTCAGGACACCTTTCATTAATTTTGGGTGCTGAATATGTGCAATCTCTCTTTCACTCTGACGACATTCGCGGGATTTAAACCCAGTGCAAGGCCTTATTTTGAGGGCAATGCTGCTGAATCTGCACTCCGTAGTCGGATAATTCTTCGGCTGATAGCGATCAACCGCTCGCCGACACATCTTTCTGATGCAGAATACCGAATACATAATACTCAAGGGAGACTGAGAACACTGTGTTCGTGTGTCATCCCTTCCGCGTCCCGAACTTTAACGAGCTGCGATTTTTTTCTCATAAAGATAGGGTAGACATAATGATTCAGGATTTTTTTACCGTCAGCTCGATCCTTTACTGTATATGTCTTTTGACCTTACCTGTAACCTGGCAATCATCAATACATTAAAGCAGAACCCTCTGGGACATTTCTTTCCACGTTTGCCCCTTCAGAGGTAGAGTGCGAAATAACGACCCTCTGTTCTCTGAAGGACAAGAAAATTCTGATCCATTTTAACATTCTTTCTTTAATTCCTATGTCACAAATCTTTTGTAAAAGAAGCCCGTGTGGCACGCTATCTAAGGCCTCCTTCCAATCGAAAAATATTATATCAAATGGATATTATTTTTCTATGGCTTTTGTTCTCTGCTCGTGCGAGTAAGGAACATGCGTGATGCAAGAGCGTCCTACACGTGTTGGAAATTGCGTAATATTTTGTTTCTTTCTAGCTATTCCATAAATTACCTCTGGATAATACTTTCCATTATTTTACACGCAATGCAAGCTAAACTGACAGGACAGTAATTTTCACAGCCAAGTCGCGAACCTCGCTTACATGTCGGAATTATGAATACCCACTTCCATACTTCCAGGAGTTCGCCTGCTTCGAAAGACTTGGAATATTATGGAACGTGGGCCAGTGCTGGTATTAATTTCGACCCAGGTGATTTGGTAGACTTCGCTTGGAGTAGAATAGCCCTAACTGTGGTTAATGAAAAGTCTAGATCCTCTGTTTCTGAGGACAAGGAGGAGCCAGAGCGAATAGGAGGTATAGGATGCGCGGACTCGGAGAATGCTTTACTCAAGCCGCGAATAGCACAAACATAAGGTCAACTATACACCAAAGCGCGGTATATGTGATCATACCATTTCATTGCCGACAGAAAAAAAACTAAAGGGAGGGTGGTTAGGCAGAAGAATCCGTCGCGAGCGTCAGCATTTCACCTATGAGTGAAACTCGGGAGGAACGTTAACGTCCACAATGACCATAGCAGCGTGGGAAAAATACAAACAAGTGAAGAAAGGAATATAATCTTCTAAGTACCCGGTAGTTTGTTTTCAATTGCCATAATTTCTTCGTGTTATGAAATGAAACTTTTTGTAATCACGCGATTGGAACACCGACTTTCGAAATACGACAGCAACTCCAACCGGCGTTTCATAGCTTTTTATGTCAAACAGGTGCGTTGCATGTACCTTGAAGGGCACAACCGGGAAAATGCTATGCACAAACACTCATCCTCAGAATGGTTAATTAGCATCTTCAACTGCTAATACTAAATTTGATAATGTTTATTAACGGGATCATCACATATGCCAAATCTGGGATACTAAGTTTCCTCGCATTCCCATTCTTTTACACTTAAGTGTACATTATTGAATTTCAAACGACTAACAAAGTTACACCTTGCCATTTATTGGCAGTCGCATTCTATGATAGTTAGTTATGAAGTCTCCCAGTTAAATTTGTTTTTGCAGTCATGGAACGAATCGAAAAGCGCGGCCCTGTGTGCGTTTAAAACACTTTCGATTAAAACAAACACAATGATATGGGAAACTTTACTGGCTTTATTATTGTCTTTAGGCACATGTTCCGCTTTCTTTTGTAGTATTTTTTGGTACTTGTCTTACATGATAATGTATGGACGAAGTGGCACTGGCGCTCATTTTGAAATTATGTGAAATTGTCCCTCTCTAATGGGTGATCGGGAACAATCGGCTGCGCCGGGGCGAAATATTTTCGAAGCTTTATTTTCCTACGTCAAAAGGGGTGTGTAAACGTGATTTATTAACCTTCCTTAAATGTATTCGCCAGTGTAATTTGTCAAAACCGTATTATGAGAAGTGGTCCGCAAGCTTCCTTTAACTGTACAGAAAGCTTAAGTATAGTTAGCCTGATGGCCCCCCTATTTCCTGGGTTAGCAAGGTTTTTATATTCGTCCCGCTCCGCATATCCATGCATTATGTTGTTTGAAATTGTTTCTTCGTTCGGTGTTCCTGCTCTCGTCAATCTTTTTAATCGACTGATGTAAAGGTTTTTCACATGACGCACACGTGAGATACGACGTCCCCTTGAAAATGGTCCCGTCGTACTTGTTCTTCATCCACCTTTAAACCATCAACTAGGTGGCCAAGTTCTTGCGCAAAATAGGTTCAGTGAAACGCTCCTGCTCACGGTCTTCTAAACATTCGGATTTTTTGGAGCCTTATATTTGTTGCATCTGACTCACATTTCATCAGGGTACATATTGCTGACACATCTACAGCTTTTATTAATCAGTATCCTATCCTCATGTTCAGGAAGTCGACTGTATCCTTCGGGGTTTTGAGGAATCTTCTGTCACGTTTTCGATTCCAACGTCTTTGCTTCTTAATTCCGCGTTTGGGATCCATGTTATCCATCGCAGAGCTAGAACTCATCTCTCTTCCTTAACTTCTCTCGGCCCCTTTATTTTCAGTCAGATGATAACCGGCTTGTCTGAGGCGCCGCAGTCTCTTTTGACTGACCACCTGAAAATGTTTGATTATCAACTGCACCGAATAACCTTATTTTTGGATACCTGTTGTTGACAAAGCTGTAATCAAGCCAAATATATTGGGCATCAGTTCTAATTATCCATTTAATTGATTTTACAGACTGTGAACGCTCCACCAGCTGCAAGAATCGACTATCGAGATTCAAAGGGTCGTGCTTAAATTTATTCGGTGTGTCGAGTCAGATTTGCGCTAATCTCATTCGACGTTTTCGGCCTACATCGTTGAAGTCATCACCAGCAAAATATTCATTATCGTAACCCTAATTGGGCACACTTAGTCTACACAGAGGTTCTGTAGACGGGTGCCTGATGGCAAATAGCACTAAGACTAAGTAGTTGTGTAAGGAGTCGAATCCATCGCTCCAACCCTTGAATTCGTTTATGGAGGCAAGCGGACACCTGGGATGGAATAGGCGAACTGTTTTTGGTGTTTATGAAAGCAGAAGTTCTTATCGCATTGTAACTACCACGTGGTCAGTGGAAGGCAACGACGCCTGCTTAAAGTACCCCTGGAGTCGAAAGTACTTTAGATATTGACTGTTTAGCTTATACACAATTTGTGCTCCACTCTTTCCA